AATGTATCATGAAGAAATGAGAGAAAAAGTCAAATTAACCAAACGTCAAATTTACAGGGAGCATTTTCATCTTGCTCTTAATACATTTCACTTGTTCAGAGGAGGCAAAAAAAGGTATCAGATATTTTCTCATGATATAAGTCACAAATTGATGTTCAACTCACAGGGAGAAGAGACCAGGAACCATGAAAAGATCAGAATGTTTCAATATATAAGAAATCAGAGAGGGAGATGGAGAGAGAGAGAGAGTGTGTGTAAATTGAGAGAGAGAGCGATAGACAATATGGACTTGCAACTCATGCGGAAAACTGAATCCCATGAAATCTATCAAGTTCAATATTTCAGCTTGACTGTGCAAAAAAAGACTAACAGAAAATAAGATACATAATATACAAGGAGAGAGTAAAAAAAAAGTTCTGAGAATCTGAACTGTTCAGAGTTGAGAAAGATAATAAAAAAGTACATTAGATGAAAATTCGGATAAACTAACATGGTGACAATATGGAAAGTGAATAAACAATCAAGATTAAAGTGAATCAATGTTGGACAAAAAACAATTTCATTCATGATTAAAGACCTAAAGGTAAACAGCACGAGAAAATAATAGCAACACACAGAAGACAATATGGATTAACAAGTTGATAGAATAAGAAAATTATTCCATTAATCCAGATAATCACATGTAATAAGTAAGCATAAGTACCGTTATGATTAAGTAATTATGTACTTAATCAAGGAAGAGCGGGAAAAAGTAACGGCCAAACTTGTAATCTAATAAATATCAGAGACAAAGGTAAACAAAAACAATACTTGGATAATATTAATAACAATAAATGTCTCTGGTACCATTGAGTGAGTTTCCTAGGTACATGTTTATGTAAATATCATAAATAATCAATGATAATATGTCAATGGGATAAAATTACTAGATCTTTTTGAGAAAAGTAAAAAAAAACATTACATGGCTATTGGAAAGGTTTAGTTGATAGTAAATGGATTAGGATCAATTAGATTTACTAGTTTTTTTCACTTTTTTTTACACAAAGATTGTAATAGTTAAACATATATATGATATTACTCTTGATGATTACCATTTTTTTAATGGTCTACATGTAATTTAGGCAATAAATGGTATCATCATAATGGATCTATGGTAAATATTGCAATTTAAAGTTTCTACTATTTTCTCTTGATTGTAACCGTTATAATCTTTACGATGTTGATTGTTTACTTGTTTACTCATGATACTCATGGAGAGTAACAGGACATTGAGAGTAAACTTATATTTCTCTGAATAAAATAACAATAATATTACAAATTGTAAAGTAATTGAAATAATGATGATGATGATTAAATTGTGGTGATACTTTTATATTCCTATGGAAGTTTCAATTTTTATAATGTCCATCATGATGGATTTCAAAAGTTTTCCTCTCTCTCTTTCTCTCTCGGTTATTCAGAGAAAATGATAATAATATAAAGTGATCACGTTCCGAATCATGATGATAATTTTTCAACATGATTCTAATTATATCAATTATACATAATTTTTTTTCTATTGAATTTAATTAAAGTCAAAATTTTCTGGTCAATGGATCATCATGTTAATTATTAAGTCGACTTGTTACCATTTACTATTATTTATGATATTATGTGTACGTAAGAGTCGCTGGGTTGCTAGTTGACCATATTAATGAGTGATACAAAGTTAATCTACCATAGGAGGTGAAAGGATAATGAGAGGTTTGGTCATGGACCTTGGAGTGAAAATCATGTGTCCTTGTATTGGATAATTAATTGTTAGTGATAATGAATAATATTAATACACAGGTAACACATAGAGTTTTTTACCTGTGAAATAGTTTCCGGTTGGTTGAGATAGACTCAAATTACTATTAACTTTTCAATATAATGTTCAAAAGTTAGTTAAACACCATCATTATTATCAAGTGTAAAGACTTGACCATGGGTCAAGGGGCTAAAGTTATAATGGTGATAATAGTAATGATGATAATAAGTCAAGGTAAAAAAAGTTGTCTCTCTCTCTCTCTCTCTCTCTCTGTGAGTCTAATGATAAAATACTAGCATTTGTATTATGTTATATTGAAGATCCAATATAAATAATTGATCAAATCGTAGAGTCCATTGAGTAAATGAGTTTTTAATCTGTACTCTTGGTAAATCCTTAATCATCATCATTGTGATAATCACCATTAACTCAATCACTTTGTAAATCTTAACAATTTATTTTATATTTTCACCTTAATGATGATAACTTTTTTTGTCAAAGTATTATTATCATTATCATCCTCATCATGATTAAGATTATAAATATAATCATCTTGGAAATCATTTTCCATTAGGTTAATCACAGTTGATTATCATTATCATTAATCACCAACAATAATCAGATTTTATTGTAATCCTATTAATTGTGCTCAGTTTGTAACAATTTGATTAAAAACCATAGAGAAAGAAAGTTTAATTAACTCAGCCAATTGAAAACAAACCTTTCGTAAACTCAATTAAAAAAAGTGTAATTGTAATTATAATTTTCAGAAACAAATCATTATGATTAGTTTAAAAGTTTTAATTACTTTGGTTTATACGGTTTACAAGCTAATTAAAAACACAATTGCAATTGATCAATTGGAAATCACTTCTCAATTGTAATTAAAATTAAATCGTCAACTGGTTAATATACAAAAATGATGATAAATTTTATCAATTAAATTGATTGTGACTCAATTAATTGAATAAGGCTTCATATAAGTAAATAAGGAAGTCGATATTTATTAAATGTCGTTGCAATTTCATTCCTAAAGATTCAAAGTTATCTGATTGACTTGAATCTCCACCAAGCATCAAAAGATGAAGAGACAAATGAGAGTGAGAGAGGGAAGGGAGGGAGAGAGATCAATAGGAAGAGAAAATGAAAGATGATCATCTTCATTATACTCACACAATCCAATAAAATATCAAGAGAAATGATTCTAACCTGATAATAACATTCTTACAATTCTCAGTTCTCTTTAGTTTATTATATTTCCTTTTCTTATTATTTTTCTTTTTTGTTCTATGTAGAACATTTTTTTTGTTCTCTTTTGGATGGAGAATTTTCTTCTCTCTCTCTAACATGATTCTCCTCCTATTTCTTAGCATCTTAATCACATCATTCTCAAAGATCTACTGGTGATTCGGGATTCGTGTCACGATGAAACGAAAAGAAAGAGAATCGAAGCCTTATCATCATCATCATCATCCTAATCATTATCATCTTAAGATTCTAGTTACCTTTTCATCATCCTCATCATCAAACTAACATCATGATTATTTCAGAATATTTGGAATCATTCCCACCAAGAAAAAAGAAAAGGTGAAGAAAAATTATATACCCAAAGAATTGAGTTAATCTGTAGCTCTTTTTTGTTGCTTTTTTCGCTGAGATTGAACAAATTATGCAAACACCAAAAAGCTTAATCAAGAGTAAATCATTTAGATTAACATCTTAATGACCATCATCATGATGGTCATTAAATCATTCAGATCAGGTTAATAAATTAAAAAAGTGTAGATAAAAAATCAACAGCAATTGACAAAATGACCAGAATAAGTTTCTCATGAACATGAATAGTGTTTATTATCAATCAGATAATAAGTAATGGGAGGGATACAGAGGCGACCCAATAGTGATAACAAATGATGATAATTATACACAAACTCATCATCTTCATCATCTTCATCATCATCGTCATCTTTTAGGTATCCAATGGACTGTAAAAGGAAATGGAAATGATAATATTCATTGATAATTCATCTGCGTCTCCAATTAAGCCCATCTCTCTCTCTCTCTCTTGATTGGGTTTTAACACTTCATCTAATTAACTGTTGATGATAAGGTAATTGACAATTTATGTTGATTAACAAATTGTATATATTATATATTTTACCTTCAAGGTTAATGATCCGTTTGGGTTAACTAAATGTCATTTTGTTTACAATTTAATGGTAAATGTTTGATTTTTACAGGTAACAAATATTGATTTGTAAACTGAATTAACTTAATTTAGTTACTCTCTCGTTATCCTAATCAACGAAACCTTGTATTACAAGTTTAACCATTTTCACAGGACAAATTTGAATCAAGTTTTTAATTGCTTTCCAATTGCTGTAAGACCCTTGAAAATTTAATTTATTTTCATCTTAAATACATATTAAACTTTGTGTTGATTTAGTTTGCTGGTTGATTAATATTTGATTGTATTTACTATATGGTTAAATTAACTTTACCATGTTAATAATTGATTAAATCATGGTTAATAAAATTATTCAATTTGTTTAAACAATTTGTATCTTAAAGATATTTACAATTGTCGTAACGATTAATTTTCAATTGGTGATTAATTACAATCAATTGTGAATAGATTTATGGATTTCCACAAGTTAATTGTTGTTGATTAACCTTTTTTTTACCTTCTTAAATTAGATTTGATTGTGAAAAGTATATAAACTAAATTAAAATTGATTGTAAGACTTTGATTCTCATCCATTAACTCAATCAAAAATAATGCTATTTTTTTCCCATTGATGCTAATAATAAATCATTCTGATGATCAAGATAATCATGATTATATTGATTGCGTGATGAAATTAAACTTAATTGTAAAATAATTACCAGACAATCATCAAAATCTTATTAAAGAGAGAGCGAGAGAGACATTGGTTTTCATCAATGAATTTCGTGTAAATAAATAAAACAATCAATTCTAAGGTATCGTTACTATAATGAGAATAATTTTCTGAACTTTTTGAAATTAGAATAATAATCAAATCTAATTGATACAATTTACTGTTATAAAGAAATGGAAACGGAAATGGAAATGATAAATCAGATATTGAGAGATGAATATGGAAACGGAAATGAAGGTTAAATTGAATTGAAATTCATATAAATATAAATCATTGTCTCTCAATGTGAAAATTTCAAGACGATATAAATTCTGGTTGATAATCATTTAAATCAATGTCAATTCAATTGCTACAGGAAACACCAAGAGTAGCACAATAAACAACAATAAATACTCATGATCAACTTGAAGATTTACCCTGAATAACAATAATAATAAACTCTGTATATATACATGATGACCCAATGATAGTGGTGAAAGTATATATTTAAATTGAATTGCGTTCAAATGCAACATTGATTCAGAATCATGATAATAACAACAATTCAACTGAGACTTTGGTGAAAGTTTGAAACATTTTATTTCTGTTACACATCAAGATATATAATAAATCTGAATACCAAACATGATAATAATAATGATATAGCTGAATAAAAATAGGGAAAAGTGATAACAATAAAAAAAAAAGGAGCATTGATTCAGGAATTCAGGTGAATTCCTATCTCTCATGGAAATCTGAATACATTCATTTCAAGTTTCATGATATTATCAAAGGGAATTCAAGTTACAATCAATAGATGATGAAGAAAGAAAAAAATAAAGAGGAAATAACAATAAAAAAAAAGGTTATAATAAACAAAGTAAATATCACAATTTACTGGATTCAATTCTGATTCTAGACACAATCAACTACACATATTCACCATAGAGCAGAAGCAAAAAAATAAATAAATAACTAAAAGGCTCAACGTAAATGCCTGGAGGGCAATTAACTAACCCAAGAAAAGAAAACCAAGTTTACTATTATATATATTAACTTAACAGGATGATTAAAACAATGAACATTAATGTTGACAAATGATAATCACATTATTATCAACTAAACTTACCTTGCAGGTAAAGTTTTTAAATTGTTTCAGCAAATTAATTAATAGTTTCAGCTTGTTATTATTATTACTCATTACATGTTTACCTGATATAAGTTAATTGTTTACAATTATAATTACCATGCAACAAATAATAGTACAGGCGAAAAGTATTAAAACAAAAGTTATCAACATATGAAAGGATTGTTATTGATTTCTATGCAAATTGTTTAATTTAATTTCACTAATCAACCATCATAAGGGAAAAATACAATTACTACAATTAGAAGGACACAATTTACAAAACTATTGTAATCATGAGATAATAATGATAATAATTTAACGTTACACTGAATCTATCAAAATATAAGTAGCTATATATATATTGGTAAACAAATCAGTTAATTATCATGACAATCAGTAAATTGAAATGAAATTATAATAATGACAGGTAATGGTTACCTGGATTCTAGGACCTTGATGTAAGAAAGTAAAAAAAAAATCAACCAAATGAAAACGGAAACAGTTAATGAATTAAAAGTAAACAAGGTACCACAAAAAGGTAACACTGACAATTAACAACATATGAAGGTTTAAATAATATAATTAAATAGTAAAAGTAACAATTATAAATTTAGTTGACAATTAACTCGAAACAGAGTAACATTAATGTGATAAAAAAAACAACAACATTCATTTACTTTGACTCTCTGTTATTATTAACAACATTTCATATTATTATTCATTTGTATTATTGATTATTAATATTATCATATTGATGTATAACTATAATTAGGTTTTATCATCATTACTCACTCACTCATTCACTCATCTTTCTCATTAATTATGAGTTACCTGGATTTATCTGTCAACTATGTTTTCCTTTTCACCATTGTGATAATACAATTTTGTTCAGTGACCACAGATGAGATTAATGTTACTACATCATCGCCATCATCATCAGTAACTACAGTAACTTCATCTCCTTCACTAGTAGTAGCCGGAAGTTTTTCATCATCACCATCATCTTTATCTTCATCACCAGCAGCATCTTCAGTATCCTCTTCCTCATCATCATCATCATCTTCATCATCATCAACAATTTCACCCATAACACTTTCAACATCACCTTCGGTGTCAGAAACGACAACAACTGATCCTAATCATCAAACTTGGCAACGAAGCTATTACATTAATCAAGGAGTTCAACCTTGGTCCTATGGTTACAACACAGGAATTCATCCTTATACTGTAACCTACAATTATCCGGTTACCAGTACAGTGGTTTACCCAAATATGAACGATAATAAAGTTAATCATCATAATTATAATTATTATAATAATAATAACAATCAGAATCAACCTCATGATAATGTTGAATTGGGTAAATTTTTCTCAACCTCACCTCAATCCAATAAAGGATCAAATCATTTTCCAGGTAACAAACATTTACTAAATTGTTATTATCATTGTTACATTATAATGATAATACTACAAATTAATGATATTAGTCAGACTCTTGGTGAAATTATTATTTCATCATTTAGTTTGATTCATGAGAAATATATTAATTCAGGATAACAGATAAATATTATTATTATTATTATATTAAAAAGGGTCAAATCTCATGAAGCATTTTTTTTTCAGCAGAGTAACTTGAATCTGAACCTTGAACAAGTTGAGAGTAAATTTTATGAATTCCTATCATGTTTCAATCGGAATAAGGTGGAAAATCATGATCATGATGATGATGAGAAGGAGTAGGAGGAGGATGAGGATGATGAAAAGAGTAAGACAAACGAAGTGCTTACTTTTAGGTTACTATTACATTATCTCATTTTCAAGCTCAGTTTTTCAATCATTTTTACCGTTACATTAATTTGAAGCTGATTTTCTGGCTCAACCTAAAGATTTTTTTTTCTCTCGTCATGATTTCTCATGATTATTCTGGTTTCAAACACTCTAGGGAAATCAAAATTCAAGGAAAATACTAGTAACTTATCATCATCATCAATGATATCATCTTCATCTCTTACTATTACTATTTGACCCTTTACCATGTTCCAAGTGTTTCATCCTTTAGGTAACTATACACTTCCCATGGAAGAAAAAAAAATAATGTTCAATGAATGGTTCCTAGTAATCATGATACTGATCATCATCATCATCATCCTTTAGTAATGATAACAATGATGTTAATGATAATAACAACAAAACGATCATAATAATAACCATGATAATAACAATATTACCTTTAGAAGGCAATTTTATCACATCTACTGATTATTATTTGTAACTGAATAAGTTTGATATTCTTGATAAATATTATGGAAAGAAAATTCTGAATCAAGATATATTGAGATAATAATAATCACCAAAAAGGACTGGAAAGGAAAACGAAAATGAAGATGAAGATGATGAATGAAACAATCTTATTCCATTGAAATGATAGCAAATTAAAGGATAGAATTTTTCTTTTCCTTTTCCTTTGCCTTCTCATATACTCAAAGAATCAAATTAACCTGAAAACATGGTCAATGTTATCGTTTTTTACTGAATATCGCCAGAACTGAATATATATTTTTTTCTTCAGATTGAAAGATAACATTTTTACAAGTTTACGTGACATTGATTATCATTGAAAAGGATGCGGAGGAAAAAAGTATGATGATGAAAATGGATGATTGAAAGAGAGAAAAGAGAGAGAGATAGAGAGAGAGAGACATCTTCTCTCAGTGTCTTACATCACTCTTCATCATCTCATTACTTTTGCAAGTCGGAAACTCATCTTCTTCTCTGTTTCTCTCTCTCTCTCTCTTCATCATCTCACTCAAATCACTCATCAATGTTGATAGTTGCTTCGCCCTCAGACTCAAATCAATCAATTTGCTTTAGTTTCTCGAGAGAGTTGCAAGGGATGATGATGATAATGATTAAGATGAAGATGAGGCACAGAGTAAAATAAACCCAAGATTCAATCAAAAAGTATCACAACATGTAAAAGATGCAAAAGAAGCAAAAATTGACACTGAATCTTTCATACAGGGTATGATATATATACTCTATATATTTATTAGTTTAATATTATGAAAGAGAAAAAAGTTTTCTGTGTAAAAAAAACCAACTTATATTCACATGATGAATATAACTTGATGATAGATTTTGCTCTTGAAATGTTGAGATCAATTTCTCACCAAATGCATTTGACGGTTTGTGCAAAACTTTTTGCATCATATGCTGGTTATTTGCCTTAAAAATCATCATCCTCATCATCACCATCATCATAACAAAGTTGAAAATAATTTGCTAAGACTTTTTTTCCTCTCATTTTGTCAGCACCTTCCCTCCAATTGCATCAACACCACCATCATTTTCCCACCTTCATCTATGCAATTCTGAAAGTTCAATCTCTAACCTTTATTTGATTTGATTTCTTCTTCTTATATAACAATTTCTCTCTCTCTCTCTCTACTGTTTATCATCATTGATTTTCATTCAGGATTCACAAATGATGATATCCAAGGGATCCCTTTAAATGATGATCAAGATAATAACGAGATGGTTAACCTTATCAGCGGAAATGGTCAACCCAAGTCAACACTGGACACTGATGAACCATTTCCAGTTAATCAAATTTCCGGTTCTGATGATGTAAACGAGGATTTCACATTGGATGACAATACAGTTTCAAATAGTTTACCATTTAACTTATAATCAAAATTAACAACAACAACAACAATCAACTAACCAACAATAGTAATTATCATCATTGTAAAAAATACAAAAATCATCACAATCAAATGATAACAACAAATCTTGACTACAGACAAAAGTTAATTACAAACTATGATAATTAAAGTGTTTGGTAAGACAAACTTAATTTCATAACTTTAATGATAAATTTTAATTAACATTAATATAATCATCAACTTGATCATTATAACTGTAAAAATCAAGATCATTTAAATTTGGCGCTTTACTTCCGTTCTCAATTAAAATCTTAATCCATTAACATATGATGATTATCCTAATTTTATTTTTTCTCTAATTGTTTAAATTTAGATTATAACAGTATTTGTTGTTTCTAAATGATTATAATCAAATTTAAATAGAGAGAAACAATTTAACGTAGGCAGAGGTTGAAGGTGATCATTATTTTGGAGTAAATTGTGATTAGATAATGATAATAATGGTTGATAATAATTGTTACTCTGATTTTCTGTATCAATATAAGTATGGAGGAGAGATAAAAAATTAAGTTAATCACGGAAACCGGTGAAATAGTTGATTAAATTGTTGAGAAAACTAATAAAGGTAAAAACTGATCAACATGATTCGTGATTAGCCGTTAGGAGAGTTAACAAAGTTTGGACTTAGAGAGAGAGAGAGAGAAAAGTTCCAGCCCAAGTGATTATAAAGCGATTGGCTTTTAGCATTGAGGTCATTACTGGGTAATCATGTTTAGCAAATAAATAATCAACAATCAAAAGTAATCAGCAATCAACAATCAACAATCATCAACAAGGCAACTGAACAACAACAGCAACAAGCAAGAAGATAAAAAAAAACTAAAGGTAACTACAAAAGCTTCAACTTATTGAGTTCAAATCAATAATGATAATGATGATGATGATAATGGTTGATGATAAATAATAAGCAGCTAAGTTTAAAATTCTCAAGGAACTTTTTTCTGATATAAACTCAGAAGAAGAAAGGAAAATAATATACAAATAGAACATAAGAAAAAAAGATGCAAATGCTAAAAGTAGAAGGTGGAAAATGAAGATGAAGATGGAGAGATAGTGAATGAAGATGGTAAAGGAGAAAGAGAGAGAGAGAGAATAGATAGAGAAATGAAAAGATGATGATAATAATGATAAAGGTAAAAAAGAAGCAGAAAAAAAGTAAAAACAAATAAGCAAAGTTAAGCTCAGGTAAGTTAAGGTCGTTTGTTTCAAGTTTGGTAAAAAAACCAACAACAACAAGAATTACAAACAAGCTTTTTACAGGTAAAATATATGGCATCTGGTTAATTGTTTGTAAAGCATTTCATCACGAGTTTGCAGGAGCCAAAGTTGCTGAGAGAAGAGAGTGAGAAGAGGCTGGAGAGAGAGAGAGAGAGAGAGGGATGATAAAGATAATGATGAGGCAAAAGAAGAGCTAAGAAAGCAACTAACAAGAAAGGTAACTTTTGATGGAAAGAAAAATATTCTGGTTGAAATAGAAAATAAGAGGAACCACTTATTTACCTTAGGCAAGCCTTAAAGTTACCTTTGGAACTGTAGAGTGAGAGAGAGAGAGAGATGATGATGATGATGATGAAAAGAGAGAAAAACTTTTAACGCCTCTCCCATATTATCATCTTTTTCTCTCTTTCTCGTCCATTTTTTTTTCTTTCTCTTCCACAGACTGAATCTTAGATCAAAGTTAAATAAACAACAAAAAGTTTGATACAATTTCTTTATTTATTCTTATTCATCTTCCTCGCCCATACAATTTGCAAGGAAGAAAAAATCTCATAGCTAAAGTTTTGTTGTAGAAAAGAGGCAAGAAAAAAGGTTCTATTCTTTTCTCCCTTCTTCACCTCTCTCTCTCTCTCTCTTTTTTGTAAGAATCGAATAGTAATGAGCTTCTTTACTAGTTGGTAGAAATTCAAAATTTTCTAAAAATCATCTAATTATTTCATTTAAGTTTCCATGTAAAGGAAACTCTGTTCCTCTATTTGAGTTCATTTTCTATTCGGCTAATAATTGATTACTATTCCATAGAAATTTTCATTCATCTCTTATTCATTGTTTTCTATCATAATCATCATCCCCTTGTTGGCTTTATTGTTCTTGTTGTCCACCATTGACCTCAACTTTAGGTGAGAACCATGACAGAAACAAGAACAATTTACCTCATTGAATAACTTTCATTCCAATTTAATTTGAATATTCATGAATATCAATGAGATTTCAATCAACTGAGTCCTGGAGATTAACATGACCAGTGTCCAGCGAAGGAAAAGTGAACGAGAAGTAACTTGTAATAAGTAAAATTTTCTCTTAAATTACCTCACCTAAATCTCTGTAAATATCTTTGATTGTTTCGTCGATCAACTCGAGCCCATTGTCCATTTCATGGTGGAGCAATTGATCTCGTTTATTTAAATCGTGAAAACAATCATATGCTGATAGAAAATGAATCAACTGATCTAACCAATTAATTGCTCTATCTTCACTTTTAGAAACATAATCAATCGAAATGGACTTTACCGATAACCTTGGTTAATTATTTGGATCTATTTCGACGAGACTTCTAAATGGCACAATCTTTTGATCTTTTAATTGCTGAAGCAATCGAATGCTAAATAGTTTGATTAATTGAATGATCGGGAAAAAGGCAATCGTCGATTCGTGAATAGTAGTAAAGTTCATTTGTCGATCTTGTGTTACGAACTAAATCTTGACTTCGAATAAATGATCTTAAGGGTAATTGAATGGTCTTTCTGAACCAAAGGTTATCTGAGTAACGATTTGAGTATCTGGGGAGGCCACTTATCGACAGAATGTGACGATTTAGCACTTGAAGGTCGATTAGTTCACTAATGAAAGTGATCCAATAATCGCGATAAGTACAAAGAATTGATCTGTTTATTTCAGCGATGTGATCAGATTCGGTTTCCGATGTTTTTTTAATCCTGAGCTCATCTCTACGGTCACTTGTTGATGTGAACTTTGTATTTCAAAGGAGCACAATTAAAATCTTCAGTATCAATAAGAAGAAACTCTTTGAATATTTTGGCCTGACCCGAAATGGAGGTTAAATAATAATCATTGGAACCCGATTTAGAGCAGTTAACGCCAAGGATCAGGCCGAATGAGTCGCACGGGCAAATTAACATTGAATGGGACAGACCGGACACTTTGGCACGAAAACGTTTTCTAAATATGAGTTTACTTTCAAGAGTATATTTCAATTGTGAACCATTTTGATCAAAGATAATTGAATCAATCGTCTCATTGATTACCAATACTAAGATTATATTGGTTTTGATTTATCAATTGATCAATTTTGAACCTAAATCAAGTTAAATTGTTAGAAAAACAAACAATTTAAATTCTATTTGCTAAATTACAATTGAACTAATCAACTAACTAGACAAATGATCAAGGAATCATTTTCCCTCTTTTATCATGAATTATGATCCAACAAACAATATTCATCACCATGGGAACTTGATTGAAACAAAATAATTGACAGAATCGCAGCTGATGAAGATTCAATCAACATCTAATTAGATGTAAATCTATCATCATCATCATCATCGGATGAGAAACTTATTTGTCTTAAATAAGACGAAATCTAATTTTTCCTGGAATCGGATTAGTCAATTAAAATGAAGCAAAAAAAACACAAGAGATGAGCTTCTAGACACATTAATGAATAATAATATCACATAAACTCAGGATTTACCATGAGTTTAATTAGTCATCATGATGACATAATCACTGAATGAAAAAACTGCCCAAAGGTCAATAAAAGATTGACAAACAAAAACTGATTGAAAAGTTGAAAGAAAAACAAAAAGAGTCAAATATTTGTTTTTAAAAATATCAATGAAAATATTCAAATATATTCATCATCATCCTAATCATATTGTAACAATTGTCAACATCATGGTGATTAATAAATGAATCCACCTTTAAGTATATTAAACATATGAAAAGATGAAAAATTCTGGTTCATTATGAGAGATCTTGATTCATGTAATTCACAGATTGTTATTAATGTATCATGAGAAATTCAAAGAACAAAAAAAAATGAATCTTTTTCCAAATAATATGAATGAAAATATCAACATGTTGACATAGAAATGAAGTAAAATCATAATAATGTTGACAAACTTATTCAAGAGATTAAATAACTGATTCGGTTGGGATAATATTGATTGAACATTGAACACACACCAATTTGGTTGATCACACCAGAGAGATTTAAATAGATAATAGTATTTACCTGATGTCTTTTGAGCTTCAATTGGATAGGAAATAACAATTAACACAAAACACAGTAAAATCCAAAATGGTTGACACATAATAATCTCTGTCCGGTCCATTGTGGAGATGAGCCTCTTTTCTTGAGGCAAAGATAAACTTGATTTTGGTTGTTGATTTTGTCGCTTTCCTTTTATGAAAATTGTTTTGAGAACAGAAAACAAAGGATAATAAAGAGGAAACAATTATAATGGTTATAAAAATTTCGATTAATCCAATAAACCATATCAATGGAAATCATCAATATGAACAAAACAAAAAAGATACACACACAAAATCACATCATCATAGTAAAAGTAAAGATGAATTGAGATGAGACAAGAAACAAAGTTCACTCTTCAAGCTCAAAGTGTTTCTGATGAATGAAAATGATGCCACCTAATGGAGAGTCGAGCAAAGAGCTTGGAATCAGCTCCATCTATGAGGGAGAAAATTTATTGTATCGAATTTTTCAAACAAACTTATCAATTATTTTCGCTTCATTTAATTTATTTCCTTTCTCTCTATTTAGTTTGTGTGTCCATTTTATGGACAATAACAACAAGAGTAACAAGAGTAACAATTACCATTTCGAATATACAATCGATAATGACAATGGTCACTTCTTTTTCCTCCTCTTCTCTCTCTCTCTCTACTTTCGTTGACAAGCAAACAAAAGTAACCAGATGGAGAATGTCGCTAACTAGCCCGATGACCACTGGTCATAAATAGAGAGAGAGAAGAAAAGATAATATATTCTTTTTATCCTTTTTCTTCTTGACCATTACCTTTGGTTCTTATCCGTCGGTCTTGTCACTTTTATTCTCGAAGAGAATTTCAATTCCTTCTCAATTTCTCTCTAAATAAGGTGACAACAATTTTCTAATTTTCCTTAAATTTCTTTTCTATTTTTCTCTCTCTTAATATCTAATCACTTGAACACAATTAACCTTAATTTTCCTCTTCAATTACAATCAATACAATTTTCTTTGAGAATATTGTATTACTATTATAACCAATTCTTTGCTCTTTTCTTTCCAATTTCGCATCTTTATGCTTCATCTAATCTTAATCTTGGATAACAATTATCATCATCATTTCCTAAATTGGAACATTTAAAATTGTCTAATTGATCTACACAAATAATCATCTAATCACAATCAAGGTAAAATGTCAGTGAGCGGTTAATTAATTGAATCGTATCAATGAAGATTAAATTAATTACCTTTGATTGTGAAAAATTATGAGAATAGGATTAAAATGATTGGACGAAAACCTGAATTAACGTTAAGATAAACTGAGAGAGAGATTTAAGTTGATAGTTACATTTGCGTGATCCCTTGTCACTTGATAGCAATTTAAATTACTCAGGTAATCAAGTTAATTCTTGATTAGTTAACCTGTTGTAACCTGATTACTATTTAAGATCAAGTTCCAATGGTTTCAAATGATCAGAAAGTTAAAGAAATTAGTTGATTTTTTTATCTTTTCCGAGCAACAATTTATCCTTATCATTGAGTCTCATCTACATCATTATCATGATAATCATTTGATTATCTCAATTGAAACTTTCCCCTGATTTTTTTTATATATATACACACACACTCACACCAACAATTAACATTGTCTCTTGATTATCTGATACTTAATGAGTATCATTAATAAATAAAATGACAACAGTTGATAATAATAATAATGATTATCATCATCGTGATTATATTAATTATAACCTAAGGTAATGAAACTTTCATCTTGACAATTAATCATTAATGATGAACAACATGATCAACAACAAAACAAAAAGTCAATCGCGATGATTATAACAATTAAATTTCATCATGAATAACAATTCAACTCGATTCTCATAATTTATCAACTCCTACCTGATGATGATGATGATGATCAATTGGCTAATCATTAGAAAAACTTTTCCAACACAATTTAATACAATTTAAATTGCTGTTCAATATCCGAATGATAATGATTATAAATGATCATTTGAATTCATCATGAAATTGAAATTGGAAAACTCTGAAAACAACATCTCTCTTTCTTTCCCTCTTTCTCTCTGAATACATGATATGAATTTTTTTTTCTTCTGATGGGTGATGAATGAATCGGAAACACACACAAAGTATAAGCTTCTGAATGGAAAGATGATAAAATAATAAATAGAAAGAAGAAAACTTGAAATTCGAATGAAAGAGAAAAAAGTTCAAGGTGAGATAACTCACTTTTCGAATACCTTTAACTCTCTCTCTCTCTCTCTCTTCCGTTTTATTATCTTCATCATCTTCTCACTGTTACTTTGAATTTATACCCAGAACTCATTCCCAGATCAAATCGATCTTGTTGATTTTCACCTTCGAATCTGAAATAGAAGAAAAAAATAGAAAGTTCTAACTCTTCATTCATATTAACCAATTCTTTTCTCATTCAATCCCTAGAGAGTTTTATCCTCATCATCATCATCATCTTTTCCTCTTCCTCTTCCTCCAACATCATCAAGTTGAAACTTTAAAAATTCATATAATTTGTAATCTAATGTTGAGAAAGCAATCGAAGATGAGGAAAAAAAAAACTTTTCTTTTTCGAGAAAAAAAGTTTTCTCTTCACAATTATTATACTCTTCTAATTCCCATATCAGATCATCCTTATCATCATATTTAATCATCCTCATCATCTTTATCATTCTCAATGGGAATATCATTCATATGATAAAATAAACAAATTAAAGGTTGACAAGCAAATCTATTAATAGTAAACATGGTTAGTCTCAAGCAATTTAAATTTCTCTCTTGATTTTTCAAGCTAAATTGTGGCTACTTAATTAAACAGAATTACTTTAACCAAATTAATATGAAACAATTTAAATGAACATTTTGATTTATCACCATAACCATAATTATATTTACAATTAACACTTTTCATACAATCATCTACCTGAACATAAGTTAATAAAAGTCAATCATAATCATACAATTGTTTACAATTTAAATTGTTGTTGTTTTGATTGCTATAAATTGCTATCTGTTTAAATGAGTATCTCTCTGTGAGGTAAATTAAATGATTAACCAAAATTCACAACAATTAACCAAAATCACCAATAGTAATTAACTTCAAGCAAGAACAACAGTAATTACAATTGTAAGTTGTTTAATTGCTGAAACCAAGAGAAGTGTAATTATTAATCAAATGGTCATTTCCTGGTCAGTATTGCCGTTCAATTGATTATCTAATCACCTTGAAAATTTAAACACGATATTAATCAATAGACATCAGAATATCTCATAATTAGTGGGAAGAGAATTGAAATTCAGTGTTGAGAATGAACTTTTTTCTTTGAATTCTCAATAAAAACGATAACAAATTGAGAAACAAAATGAAACCTCTTCTAATTAATTAGCTAATAAAAATCACCAGTTTTATCATGATGATCATTTAGATGATGATGATGATAATTTATCTTACTCTTTGTTGATATAAATCAATTCATGTTTCTAATCACGATTCATTGTTATCATCATCATCATCATCCTAGGATGTTACCATCATTTTAAGCTTTACCTTAGCTATTTATCATATAAAACATTATCTGTTCCTATTATCATCCTTCAATCATCATTATCATCATCTTGCATCATCCATATCAAACCTCCTCCTTTCATAATCTCTTAGACAAATTATTTCATCTTCCATCTAATCATCTTGTGATTAACTTTAATCTTCATCAAGGTGTCGTTCATTTCAACATTTTGCCATCAAGTTAATTTGATTTAGTTACAATTAATTTGATATCAGAAAGAGAGAGAGAGAGAGAGAGAGAGAGAAACATCATCATAATGAACATGATAAAGATGAAGATGCTGATTCTTATGTAAATATATTCATTAAATTATCATCATTGTATCTTAATCATGTTGTTACAATTTTCAATTGTCATCATCATGGTGATTAATATATAAAAATAAGAGGAATCTTGTTATTTTATCATTATACCTGAAAAATTCTGGTTCATTATCGGATTCTTATTCTTGTTCACAGATAATTCAAGTGTTATTAATGTATCATCATCAAGGAATCATGATGATAAAAAATGAATCTTTTTGTACTTTTCTATCATTCTGAATTTGCTTTTATCACCATAATGAAGATGATGAGAAATATCATCTATATATCATAATAGTTTCATCAATTTGTCTATGAACTTTTTTATTCTCAATCAGTCTCTCTCTCTCTCTTCCCACTCTTGCTAACTCATTCACTTTCTGCTCTCTCTCTCTCTCTCTCTCTCTCTTTATTACTCTATTTTAATCCAACTTTGTGAATGATTTATATTTTATAATCACGTGATGATTCTGATAAATGATCATCATGAAAGTTTCATGTTTCAATTTCATGTTGAGTTCTGATTCATGAATGAAGATCATGGAAAAGATTTTGTAGTCTTAGGATGAAATTGGATGAAAAAAGAAAAATATTTTTCTTCTAAGGAGAGAAAAGAGAATTATCTTCACAATATGACCTTCTCATCCTTTCTCACCTCAGTTTTAGACAAGAAGAAAAAACAATCACCATTATCACCATTATCATCATCATCATCTTCTTCTTCTCCATGTTTATCTTCATCATTTTAACCAATAGAAATCAACTCAAATCCAACATGATCTCATTTCTATGATTTTCAGCTTGATGAAGTTTCATTTTGATACAATTTCATCACTTGGCTACTCAATTTTCTGGTTCCAGGTTGAAAACATATTAAAGGTTTAGACGCCATCTATGAACGATCGGGATGAAAATAGAGATCATGATAAATGCCCAGAGGGCGAACAAGTATTAGTTATATTTTTAGAGTCACGGGAAAGTAAATGATGATGATAAAGAGAGAGAAAGAGAAAGAAGGAGAAGATAAAAGGTAACATGTAATGAGAAGACCAAATAAAGGTGAAGTCTCTATGTGATGATGAGAGAAGATGAAGATAAAGATGAAAAAGTTACATCAAGTGATTTACCTGTTTGTATCCTGTTCCCATGGAGTCTTTATCTTTTCTCTTTCTTCATCATCTTCTCTTATTTGGCTCCCTCATTCTCTCTCTCTCTCTCTCTCTTCAGGTTATCATCTTTTTTTTTCATCAAAAATCTTAACAAAATAATGTTACATTTGACTGAGGCTCCTTTTTCAAGGTGGGTTAAACACTGTTACCTTGAATTTATCTTCTTCCACACTATCATCCTCATCTTCTGATCATCACTATCATCCAGACACATTACTTAGATGAGATTCAATCTCTTACCTTTAGTTTGTCAGTTAGACAGAGATAAGAAAGAGAGAAAAGAAAGATGAAGATGAAGATGAAGAGAAAAACT